GGTTCTCTCATTCTCTCTCACCTTTTCCCTCTTCCCCTCTACTGTAAAAGCTTTTTCTTGCCTCTTTTATGTGAGATAAGTTACCCCATTCTACCTCTCCCTTTCTCTTTCTACTAGTACATCCCTCTTTCACTCTTAATTTTATTTTTTAGATATCATCCCTTCATATTCAACTCACACCTGTGCACTCTGTCTATATATACTCCATCTATCTTAATAATGACAATGGTCTTATGAGTTACAAATATCATCTTTCCATATAGGAATATAAACAGTTTAACTTTAATAAGTCCCTTATGATTTCTCTTTCTTGTTTGCCTTTTCATGCTTCTCTTGAGTCTTGTATTTGAAAGTTCAGTTTTCAATTTAGCTCTTATCTTTTCTCAAGAATGCATTAAATTCCTCTACCTCGTTGAATATCATTTTTCCCCCTCAAGGATTATACTCAGTTTTGTTGGGTAGGTGACTCTTGGTTTTAATCCTAGCTCCTTTGACCTCTGTAATAGTGTATTCCAAGCTCTCTGATCCTTTAATGTAGAAGCTGCTAAATCTTGAGCTATCCTGACTGTGACTCCACATTACTTAAATTGTTTCGTTCTGGCTGCTTGCAATATTTTCTCCTTGACCTGGGAACTCTGGAATTTGGCTAAAATATTTCTGGCAGTTTTCATTTTGGGATCTCTTTTAGGAGGTGAGTGGTGGATTCTTTCAATTTCTATTTTACCCTCTAGTTCTAGAATCTCAGGGCAGTTTTCCTTGCTAATTTCTTGAAAGATGATGTCTAGGTTTTTTTTTTGATCATGACTTTCAGGTAGTCCAATAACTTCTAAATTTTCTCTCCTGGATCTATTTTCCAGGTTAGTTGTTTTACCAATGAGGTATTTCACATTGTCTTCTATTTTTTAATTCTTTTGGTTTTGTTTTATAATTTCTTGATTTCTCATAGAGTCATTACCTTCCATTTGCTCCATTCTAATTTTTAAGGAATTATTTTCTTTGGTGAGCTTTTGTACCTCCTTTTCCATTTGGCGAATTGTACTTTTTAAGGAGTTCTTCTCCTCATTGGCTTTTTGGACCTCTTTTACCATTTATTCTAGTCTATTTTTTAAGGTGTTATTTTCTTCAATTTTTTTGGGGTCTCCTTTAGCAAACTGTTGACTCATTTTTCATGATTTTCTTACATCACTCTCATTTCTTTTCCCAGTTTTTCCTCTACTTCTCTTGCTTGATTTTCAAAATCCTTTTTAAGGTCTTCGTGGCCTGAGACCAATTCATATTTTTCTTGGAGGCTTTGGCTATAGGATTTTTGGTGATGGAGGATTGGGGATGAAGAATACTGAGGAAGGTCCTGTAGGAGGCTATGAGCTTCCTGAGAAGGATTGCTTACAGGGGTGGAAGGTGGAGCCTCCTGGCCAGAGGAGGGGAAAGTAGAGGATCATCTAGGAGGTCTGGCTCTTTTTCCTGCTTTTTCTCTGGTTTGAATTTTGCTAAAAGCATTTTGCTTTGTTGCCACAGGCTGGGGTCTTACAAAGGACTATGAAGGCCTGGACATAGGGAACTTCAGTCAATTTCCCTTTGTGATAGCAGAGAAGATTAAGTTGCAGAGTAGTATTATAGTTAAGAGACCCAAAAATAGGCCACTTTTCTTGGTTCTCTAGAATATATTGAGGCCAGGCAATATTCCAAAGGAATTTGAGGCATCTTCTTTTAAGGTCTTGAAGACCGAGTTTCTTCCAATTTTGTAAAAGACAACCTAGTAGGGAGTTCATGGTGTGGAAGGAAACTGCCCTGTTGTGCCTTAAATCCAAAACAAGTCATTTTCCCTTTAAGCTACCCCACCTCCATGTGGTGTCTCATAGGAGGGGAAAAACACAGGTGTCCCCCACTTAAAGAGAACCTGCAAATGGTATGCAAAGACCACAACATGGTTCAGAGACCCCAGTCTGGCTGGAGTGTCAACAGTAAAGAGAATGGGCTTATGAGCTTACCTTGAATTGGAGAAAACTGAAGGCAAAGACAAGCCCATTGGGTGCCAAAATGATGAAGTGCAAGGTCACCAAAATGTTGGGGTACAAAGTGTGTGTTGTGTTGTCGTCTTGAAAGAATTCACTCAGGTTGCCTCCAAATGAAGTAAAGGCATTTATTCTGGATAACACACCAAGCAGGCTCCTCCTTAAGGGAGGCATCCTCCTAAGGGAGACCAGGAGAAACTAGGGGTTCTTATAGAGGAAAACCTGCTGTGGGTGGAGAGGTGAGGTAATCAGGCACAGGAAAGTGAGGTAACCAGGGACATGTAGGCAAGGGGGCAGTGGTTCAGATTTTTGTACATATCTAGGCACATCATTATTCCATTGTTCAGCCCATTCACCCAGGGCAGAGGGACCCCTGTTAGTTTCAGTATTTCATTGACTTGCCTATTGGAATCTCATTATCTCATTGACCTGTCTATTCAAATCTCATTATCTCATTAACTAGTCCATTTACCTAAAGCAGAGGGGCCTTTGCTTTTCTTTTCACTTCCAGAAAGTCTAATCTCATCAGTAGCAATTAAAATTAGTGAAGTCTCTTATAAAGTAACCTTTCCTGTACTCCATATATGTTTTATAAGTACCTAGTTATTTTTCTATTGTATCCCCTATTTGAATATAAATTTCTTTAGTGGAGGAATTGTTTTTGCTTTTGTTTATGTCCCTACTGTACCATTCCAGAAACTTGGTAAGTGCTTGATAAAGTCTTATTGACTGACTGTCCTCTCTTGCAACCCCAAACCCTGTTCTTCTTCCTCACCTTGACCTTCTCCTCCCCTAAGTTCTTTCCCAAGCCATCAGTGCTACATTAACTACACTCTCCTCCCTCCTTGTCTTCACTCCGTGGTGAATCAGTTCAACTCTACATGGCTTTTTTGTGAAAAATGTGGGCATCACTACATAAATTTTAGAAACTAATACTGTAGGTAAAACTGGAATCCAGCTAATGAGGGGTTAATCAACGCTGGAAGAATTGCTGCCTAGGAATGTTTATGGTGAGCTATGGCCAGTAGGGATACTCCCATCTCCTAGAGAAAAGTTGCAAGTCCTGCATATGCTAAAGAGAAATTGACAGGGTCTGGATTAGTGTTACAAGTAGAATAGCTGATGGGCAATTCAGGTATTGCATTCAACTAGTTACCCCTTGTCCAATAAATAATACAATGATAGGCCATCTTTCTGTAGCCTTAAGAAAGGCAGTAATTTAGCTTTACAACCAAAGGACCTTTTCTTGGGGCCAATGTCATACAATAAAAACCACATTAGTACATACTTACTCGTCTTTGCTTTTCATGTGATTTTGAACATAATTCAAATATAAGAATTTTGTTGAAGATTAGTCATAGTTACATAAAATGTAAAAAGCTTTTGAAGAAACAAAACCAATGCAACTAAAATTAGAGGAGAAGGAATCTGAGGGAAAAAAACAACCTTTGCAGCAAGTTTCTCTTATACAGATCTCATTTCTAAGATATATTGGGTCAAATTTACAAGAAAAAAAGTTTATTTACCACTTGATTAATGGTCAAAGGACATAAATAGGCAGTTTTCAGAGAAAGAAATCCATATGAAAAAATACTCTAGATCCCTAACAATTAGAGAAATGCTAATTAAAACAATTCTGAATTACCACCTCAATCAATAAACAAACACTTATAAGCACCTACTATGTGCCAGGTACAATGCTAAAGGAGAAGGATAGGAAAAAAAACAAGACAAAAGACAGTTCTTGACTTCTAGGAGCTTACAATCTGGGCAATACAACATGCAAAAAAATATATACAAAGCAAGCTATAGACAAGAAGTAGGAGATAATTAACAGAGGGAAGACGCTGGAGTTAATAGGGGTTGTAGAAGGCTTTTTGAAGAAGGTGGGATTTTAGTTGGGACTTAAAGGAAGCCAGGGAGGTCAGAAGTTAGAAGACTTGTATGAACTGATTTAAAGTGAAGTGAGCAGAACCAGGAGAATAATTTATACAATAAAAACAATATTGTGAAGATAATCAACTTTGAAAGACTTAGTAACTATGATCAACATAATGATGATTCCAAAGGAATTATGGTGAAACATATTATCTACTTCCAGACAGAGAGTAGATGGACTCACAGTCTCAAAGGGTAAACACTCTCCCTTCTTCACTCTGACTGCTGACCTCCCTGGCTTCCTTTAAGTCCCAAATCAAATTCTACCTTCAGGAGGCCTTCTCAAACCTTTCTTAATTTCAGTGCCTTCCCTCTGTTAATTATCTCCTATGTATCTTGTCTGTAGCTTGTTTTGTATATACTTGTTTGTGTTTTGTAAACTCCTAGAGAGCAAAGACTGTCCTTTGGCTCTTTTTTTTTTTTGTATCCATGTTATATTAGAGACACCAAATGTGATTCATTATTATTAGCAAGTGTAAGTTGTTTACTGCTGTTCAAGATAAGTGTATCTCATAGGATTTCAAAATATATTTTCTCCTTTTCCTTCCTTCCTTTTTTCCTACATGGCTAATATAAGAATTTGTTTTACCTATTAAATTTTTTTTAAAATGATAATCACTGTAATTTTATCAACAGGCCCAATCTACACATTATTATAATTTTTTTACCTTTGAAAGACCAATGAAAAGCTTTCATTTTTAAGGAACTCTGATTCAAGAAATGTTTCAGTTTTGTTTGTACTTGAACATGAAACATAGGCTTTCTCAGGATTTTGTTTTTGGTTTTGAAAATATTTTTGTCATTTGTCACTTAAAAAGGTAGTTGATTTAGCAACAGCTAGTCTTTGATTCTGATTGGAACTGCCCCAAACATCCTCTGAGCTCAGTGTAGTTTTTGAGATTTTAAAGAATATATGATTGTGCAAAAGCAGGTGAGCTTGTTTTGAAAGGGGAAAACACATTTAAGCTTCTGCTTCTGCTGAATGAGATAACAATGACTTTGTATTTCAATAAATTTGTATATTTGCTCATGTGTTGTTTTTCCCCATAGAGCATACATTATTACAGACTTCATGGGCATCAGAAATGAAAGTTTTATGAAAGTAGCTGCTGTAGGAACCTGGATGGGGGACTTCGTTACAGCTTGGATGGTAAGAAAATTTTAAAGTTTCTGTCAGGGGAAGAAATATCTCATGATGTTGGGTAGATGCTTTTTTTTATTGAAAGCAAACAATAACAATATTAACAGCTTAGTACTTAAGGGTACAAGAATATTGTAATCACAGTGGGGATTACTTTCATGTACAAGATGGGCTAGATAACCATTGATGTCACTTCCTGTGCTCAAATTCTATGATTCTACAATTCTATATTATATCTGTGTTATGTTAGTTGTGTCAAAGACAATTAATGTAACTCTCTACATTAGCAGGTTAAGTTGTGTCCTGTTGTTTAAGGTAAGTGTATCTCATAGGGTTTCTAAATGTGGCCAATGGAAGGTATTTATAGATGTCATCTGAAGTCTGCACCTTCCAGGAAGAGAGGAGAAGAAGCCCAGTGGGAGAGAATAGCAAGCCTCCAGAGCACCCTAGGCCAGATGTTCTTTCCTCCAGAGTCTGCTTGTCTGTTATTATAAACTATTTGCCCTTCCAAATATTGCCAGTCTAGGGGGATGATAGGTTAAAAAATATTACATCTTTGATTACTCATGAGGAAGCTTACACTCACATGCTTGGCTTTTTCCTGCTAGATGCTGGTTACACAAAAGACTGTCACAGATAGTAGATAGCTAGCGAATACATTTATTCAGGCATTTAGAAAATAGAAATCACGGAAGTTATATAGATTAAAATGTATGAAGAAATATTTAGAGTGAATGTACGGTCCCACTTGGAGTAAGATATTTCAGCTTCAATCAAGTAGAAGCCCCTATTCTCACATAAGCAAAAATACTCCAAATTCTCTTGGAAGGCTAGCTATAAATCAAGAACATGTTAAGGAGCTGGCTTCTCCTATATGTCTGCGGCTTACAAAGTTTCTTTCTCTCTGTGTATTTGGAGTCAATCCCAAAGGGAATCTGGCACCATGTATTTCCTCTCTCAAAGAAAGAAAAAGATTGTCTCTTCTCTCCGAACTCTCCACATATCAATTGCACCCCTTGCATGTCATTATGCTTAGCATTCTCTCCAGCAATTCAGAGTCATGTATATTTGGCATACAAAATGCCTTACTTAGGCTTGGTTTGAATCCTGGGTAATATTCCTTCCCTAGGCAGAAACTTTTTATAGTCACTTCTGAAATATCAGCTGGGAGCAAGTTTGAAACCTGTATACAACATAAACAAAAACATCACAAAGAACAAGAGTAATTTTCCTAATACCCCAGGTAAGCATAAAGAAAAATTGCTCAGATATCTTAGAACAAGAGGACAATGTAGAAATTAAAAGAATCCATTTTTGGGGGGAGGGGGAATTCTGGGAAGATGGCAGGGTAGGTAAGAAAATTCCAGGCTCTCCAAACTTCCTCCATAAGCAGACAGAATGTTGTCACAAAATGAATGTAGAGCAGAAAAAAAAGGGAGGTAAAGCAGCTGTCCTCCTGGGACCAATTGAGAGGACATCGGGGAAATACAGGACCTCCAGGGGCTGAGATTTGGCCTGAGTGAAGAATAAACACCTCAAGGCAAACTGCTAAATCAACAAAAAGCAGGATCTGGGGACAGAAGCATACTAGGCTTCAAGAACTATCATTTCATGAGCTTTCACCTCAGAAACTTTCATCCAGGCTGCCACTGTAAGTGAGGAGGAGTGAACACATGTCTGGTGAATGTGGTTCAGGTCACTACAGGGAAAAAGCATTTTCGGGACAGCATGGCTGGGGACCCTAACTGTGGCCTAGAGGAGGAGAGGAGAGCTTGAAGTTGGGCCCCCATACAGAATTCAGAAAATAAGAAAGGAGGAACTGAGTCCTGGGGCACCATTACCCATAGCTCAGGATTATAACCTGATTACAATAATAAGCTGCTAAGAATAAAATAAAATGAAACAAAATAAAAATGAGTAAGCAAAGGAAAAATAACCCAACCAAAGATAGGTACATGGTGTGAAAGAACATCTGGATTCCTATTCAAAGGACAAAAGTGAGGTAAAAAAGCCTATCCTGCCCCAAAGAATAATGTCAAATAGTCACAAGCCCAAAAAGAATTCTTAGAAGAACTTAAAAAGGAATTAAAATCATAAGAGAATGAAGGAAAAAATTGGAAAAAAAAACAATCTAAGGAAATTATGAAAAGAAAGTTAACCAAGTGGAAAAAGATATCCAAAATCTTTAAAAAAAAAAATAACTGCTTGAAAGCTGGAATTAAGCAAGACGAATCAAATGATGTTATAAGACACCAAGAAATAATAAAACTGGAAAAAAATAGAAGAGAAACTAAAACATCTCATTAGAAAAACATATGATCTGGAGAACAGATCAAGCAGAAACAAAATTGTTGAATTACCTGAAAGTTATGATTTAAAAAGGAATCTTGATACAACACTGTAAGAAATTATTAAGGAAAATTGCCCTGAAATTCTAGAACAAGAGGGTAAGGTAGAAATGTGGTACCTCAGAGTTGTTTTGATTTGCATTTCTCTAATCAATAGTGATTTAGAGCATTTTTTCATGTGATTATAGATAGTTTTAATTTCTTCATCTGAAAACTGTCTGTTCATATTCTTTGACCATTTATCAATTGGAGAATGAGACAAGTGGGATTTATACCAGGAATGCAGGGATGGTTTAACATAAAACTATTAACATAATTGATTATATCAATAACAAAAGTAAAAAGAAATTATAAGAACATATCAATAGATGCAGAAAAGAGCTTTTGATAAAGTACCACAGTCATTTTACTAAAAGCACTTGAAAATATAATATAAATATAAGTATAGTATGAATGGATTTTTCCTTAAATTGATAAAAAGTATTTACCTAAAACCATCTTCAAGCATTTTTTGTAATGGGGATAAGCTGCAAGCCTTCCCAGTAAGAGTGAAACAAGGATGCCCATTGTCACCAATATTATGCAATATTGGAAATCCTAGCAATAAGAATAAAAGAAGAAAAAGAAATAGAATCAGAATGGATGATGAGGAAATAAAACTATCTCTTTTTGCAGATGATATGATATACTTGGAAAACCCCAAAGATTCCACTAACAATTAAAACAATAATTTTAGCAAAATAGCAAGATATAATGTAATCCACATAAATCATCAGCATTCCTGTATATCACAAACAAAACCTTGGAAGAATTGATATGAAGAAATATCCCATTTAAAGTAACTCTAGACAGTATAAAATACTTGGAAGTACAGCTGGCAAAACAAACCCGGGAACTATATGAAAAAATTATTAAAATATTTTTATTGAAACAAAACTAGATTTAAATAATTGGAGAAATATTAAATGTTCATGGGTAGGCAGGGCCAATATAATAAAAATGACAATTTTATCTAAACTAATTTATATGTCAAATGCCATCTCAATTAAATTACCAAAAGTTATTTTACTGAATTAGAAAAAAATATTGACAAGATTCATTTGGAAGAACAAAAAGTCAAGAATATCAAAGGAATTAATGAAAAAGTATAAAGGAAAGGAGTTTAGCAATACTTGATTTTAAACTATATTATAAGGCTGTAATTATCAAAACCATCTGCTACTGGCTAAGAATTAGAAAGGTAAATCAGTGGAACAGAGTAGACATACAATTTACAGCAGCAAATAAATATAGTAACATTATATTTGACAAATGTAAAGACTTAAATTTTAGGGATAAGAATTCATTATTTGCTAAAAATTATTGGGAAAACTGGAAAGCTGTCTGACAGAAATTAGACTTACACCATTTACTAAGATAAGATAAAAATGGATACATGACCTAGATATAAAGATATTACAAGAAAATTTGAGTGACATGGAATAAATATATTACCTATCAGATTTATGGATAGGTGAATAATTTTTGAATAAACAAGAGACAGAAAGCAGAGTGAGGTGAAAAATGGGTAATTTCTATTACATTAAATTAAAAAAGGTTTTGTACAAAGAAAACCAATGTAGGATCAGAAGGAAAGCAGAAAGTTGGGGAGAAATTGTATAGACAGTTTCTCAGATAAAGGTCTCATATCTCAAATATATAAAATAACTTTGTCAAATCTATAAGAATAGAAGTTATTCCTCAGTTGATAAATGGTCAAAGGATATGAAGAAATCAAAATAATTTATGGTTATATAAAAATGTTCTAAATCATTATTGATTAGAGAAATGCACATTAAAACAACATTTAGATATCATTTTATCATTTTATCTGATAGGTATAAATCCATTAGAAACCTATCAGATTGGCTAAAATGATTGAAGGGGAAAGCAACAAATGTGGATGATGATGTAGAAAAATTGGGATACTTATTCACTGTTGGTGGAACTGTGAACTAATCCAACCATTTTGGAGAGCTATCTAGAATTATGCCCAAAGAGTTATTAAACTGCCTATACCCTTTGACCCAAGAATACCATTATTAGACCAGTTTCCCAAGTTAATTAGGGGAAAAGGAAAAGAACCTATGTGTTCTAAAATATTTAAAGCATTTTTCTTTGTCGTGGCAAAGAACTGGAAATTGCAGGGATTGCATCAATTGGTATATTATTGTGATGGAATCCTACTGTGCTATAGGAAATGATAATCTCGATGATCTTAGAAAAACATTGATAGACTTGCACAAAATAGTGAAGAGTGAAATGAACAGAACCAAGAGAATATTATATATAGTAACAACACTATTGTTTTAACAACAACTTTGAGAGAATATTGAATGTAATAACAATATTGTTTTAAGAACAACTTTGAGTTTTAAGAACAGCTAAGTCCTTTTAACACTTACAAGGGAAAAAAGTTACATGATAACTTTATTATATATTTAAAAGGAATAGCAAGTTGTACATAATAGATTTACAGTTTCATATATAATCATCCTTTTTTCTACTCTACTATGTTATGGAAATGCTTGTTTTATTTCTTAAGTTCCGAATAAATGCCTTTGTAAAGAGTAAGAGGGTCTTGGCTGCGTGCTTACTAAAATAAAAATTAAAAAAAGAATC